TGACCGAATGACATGATCTTTCACAGAAGTCACACCGTACGATGCTTGATGAACCTGGTTCACTTTGACCTAGTGATTGGAATGTTCTGCTTTATAAATACCTCCAGAGAACGGACAAAGACCTTCCCGAGTAATATTTTTATTAAAAAGAGCGGAGTATGATTGCACTACCGCTTAGATCGACCCAATGTAGTTAATTAGTTGACCTGCTTCGGTCACGTTTGACATTGATAGAGTCACAGACATTCCATTTTTCAGTGATCAATCTTCTAAAGTAGGGGCGGTCCAACTTGGTGGATGGTAGTGTTTTATGATACTTTACTGGACTTACATATCTATCTACCTTTGTCCATATTTGATGTTTTTCGTCTGTCGTGATACAGAATATCTTTCGAATCTTGTTTTTAATGTTAATTAATTAGTCTTTGTTGCTTAACTACGGTGGTCACTTCTGTTGTTCATTTACAATGTGGGGCCCAGTTAACTAAATAAACGAGATGATCCACAATTGTACTACTAAATCTGTGAAACGGAATTAAGAATAGCCAGTTACCTTGTTAAACTTAACATCTTTCAAGATTTGTGTGCTAAGGTTGAGCGTATACATTTACCGACTTTGTAGTAATTATGGCTGAGAGATCGGTACAGGTATATCCGTTAGAGATTGGTTCTCCCTCATCCACATTCGTCAGTTTACCTGCATTAAACGGTTGTCTCATTTGCATTTAGTTATTGGAGAGGTAGAAGTGTATGAGACACTCAAAGTCATATCATCCTATTCCGCTATTAATTCCATTAAATCTATCAGCATTGACATAATATTTCAGGTATCTAATAGGGATGTCACGATAATGCATGTATCACCAATTCGCTGACCATTAACAGAGAAGAAATTTGACGGGTTCATGCACTTACCTCATTTATCCTTACCTGAAAGCTATATGAGGCGATAAATAAATTTCCGCAGCAAATAGATCTGTAAGTGTTCGACGTCGGTGCCGGCTTGATTATTTTCCCCTGACACAGTCCTTGCTGAAAGCGCTTGATCAGTCATCCGCACTAGACCGTTTTTCAGTGTACAATACCACACATTTTTTATACCAACTATTGGGCCTAAATTACATACTCCTCGACGTACTGGTTATTTTTCTTAATAAACCTTCGAACTCATTGAATATTGACTTCTGATTTGATTATCTTTGAGATCCGTGATTACTAAGTTGTTATAGTGTTGTTGCCATGCCCTAAACAACCCTATCATTTTGACTTACAATTTAGCAACTTTTTAGCATGATTGGATAACATTAGAAGGAAGGGAGTTGATTACATTATGTTGTGAGATAAATTAAATAGAGCACACTGTTTATCCAATGTAATCCTGTCAGACGGTTACAAGTGTGATACACAAAATCCTTGATGACCAGGTCGTTAATGAGCGAACACTCAGATGAGATCCCAATTCTTCAAATTATTATTATTATCCACAAACATCTTATGGGTACATAAGTGTTGTGAAGAAACCATTTCGGGTTTCTTCAAAAATGCGATAGTACACAAGTTTCAATAACGCCAGCATTATATTTGCCATATTTGAGAAAGAGAAAAAAGATAACAATGATAACTGAATAATAACAAACCAGGTTTTGTATAATTGAGAAGAATAATGAGTTGACTTTAAAGAAGGAAAGGGCGAAAATAAGGGAATAGAAATAAAGGAGACTCGAAATACGTAACTAGTTTAATAAGTGTTTGTGAACACAGAACAAGAATAAACGACTATGTGTGTATCGCCGAATGAGTAACAAAAATAAAATAAAACAAAGTAAATAAGAAAAATAACTCGTAATGCTATGAATTAGAAGCATTGATAAAGAAATTGAGGTCACTCATCGTAGCTGTTACGGAAACTTGGTTATCCCACGACTTCGACATTACTCCAGAATTATCCGGATATCATTATCTAAGAAGTTATAGATATAGATGTAGGAAAGAATGTGGCGTCCTTTTGTACATAGCCAATAATATAAATATCTTCTACTTTGTTTGCGAGTCCCATGACAGTGGAACATGTGAAGTCATTAGCTGTGAACTCATCATCAGATGTTTTACATTTATATTCGGTGTCATCAATCACAGCCCAATCTGCTTAGCAGACGACTTGACTTTAGAGTACATTCAGCTATGGAGTGTAAAAAGCAGATGCTTGATATTATGTGACTTTAATGCAACTGATATAAGTTGGACTTCGATGGCCACGGTAAAATTTATAAACCCTTTTGATAAGAGAATCCCGTTAATGAAGTATGCATTATCACAGCATGTATACGAACTCACATGTTTTAGTTCAAGCCAAGTTTTTTCGTTGTAAGAATTGGTAATCACCCATGCGACTGAGGATATTAGCAACCTAAATATTATTCCACCATTTGGGAATAGCAATGAGACTGTTTTGTCATTCATGTTCAGAGCTTGTGAGATCATATACGATCTGGTTGAGCCTCAACCAGATGTATGGAGAGTTAACATATCAGCCATTCATGAATGTGCTGCTAAGATAGATTCGTCAGTAGATACCAGCTCATCAATCGAAGAAACATGGACTATATTTAAAAGTAAGCTTATTTCAGTTACATCGTCGTTTATACCATGCTTAGTACTGCGTAGACTTAATAACTTTCTCCTGTGGACAACTTAAGGGATCAAGAAACTTCTAGGATGTAGGAAAAATCATTAGAATATATGTTCACTTCTACAAGCTTAGAACAGTATATATCCAGTTACTGTGAAACTAGGAATGCTTAAAAGGCGTTGATAAGTAAGACCAGACAGTAATGTGAAAACAATTGGTTAGGGACTATGAAAATAGTCTGAAAAGGTTATTATCACTTACAAAGAGATGAACTCAGAGAAGTGATGGAACCCTACTACTTTTAGTACAAGAAAATCCGTCGATATTGGCAAGAAATAATACCAAAAAGCCAAAGCTTTATCGAAATAGTTTAGTAAATCGTTTTCTACCAGCAATAAGGAACGGCTAACGGTTAATTGCGATTGGGGCGGCTTGTCAATGGATCCTGTATTTACTGATAAAGATACTGTCTTAAAAATACTTCAACAATTCACCTGATAAGTCCAGTGGTATTGACGATATTCATCCTACGATTATGAAAGCCCTATGGAATTTAATTACTGAACCTATAGACATAATGTTCGATAAGTTTCTGCAGTAGTCTAGACTGCCAACAACCGGGAAGACGCAATAATTAGTCCGATGTATAAGGTGGGGAGCAGAGACTTATTTGGTAACCATCAACCCGTAAGTCTGACCAATGGAGTTGTAGAAAAGATTAGGTGGAAGGGAATAATCTTTTAGCCAGGGCACAGCACGGTTTTTGGAAAGGCCTATCATGCTTGACAAATTTGCCTATTCCTAGAGAAAATTGGGCTGCAGTAAAAGGTCGAAATATTCATGTAGATGTAGTTTTCACAAATATAAGTAAAGCTTTAGACAGTATCCCCCATTCAGGTTTTAAATTAAAACTGGATAGTTTTGAAATCCATTAAAAAGTCACATAATGGATAAGTGAGTTTCTCAGTGATAGGAGATAGCGGATAAGGATGAGTCAAGCTCTCTCAGCGTGGGAACCTGCAAAAGATGGGGCCTCCCAAGATTCAATCCTTTCTCCTCTTCTTTTTTTACTCTATGTAAATGAATTATCAACTGTAGCAAATCCATCCGTTCTTCTCTTCACCGATGACATAAAGATTTGGAGACCCATACATAGTATGTCAGATAGAAGAGTATTACAGGATGATCTCATTTCATTGGTGGCATTGATGGGCGGGTTGTTACTAGAAGTAAATTCTGACAAGAGTGTTTTGATGCAAATAAATAACTATAATGATTCATATCACCACCCAATGTGACAGAATATAAAGATTTAAGAGTCATAACGAGCAGCGACCTCAAAACTAAGAGTAACCTCAAGGCTGCTGCTGCCAAAGGCTTAAGGGTATTATGGGCTGTTTGTACGTCTTTTCAGTACTTGGATGAAGAAATGTTTAAAGTATTATAGCCAACTGTCGTGAGACAGCACTTCGAATATGGGATTTAAGCAGCGAGTCCTTTTTTCAAGTATGAGGCGGATATGCTGGAACGACTCCAACAACGAAGGACTAAAGTGGTAAAAGATCTCTCTTGGCCTATCTTGTGAAGACAAACTGAGACACAACTTATTTTCGTTATCGTACCGTAGATTACGGGGTGATCTAATATTGGCTAATCGTATACTGGACAATGACCTTGGTATTAATGTCTTATCTTTTCTTTCTATTTAAGACTGGCCATTTGGAAGGAAATTCTAAGAAAGTTCAAGAACGGAGATCAAATCGTCTATGTCCGGGGTTCCGTTTCTCTCACTGAATTGTGAATCACTGTAATTCTCTACCAGTACGTATAATATCAGCACCTTCTGGTGATACATTCAAAACTACACTGGCCCTTCACAGCGTTACAAACTGCAGGAATTAGCGTGATTCGATAGACCTCTTATCCTTATTACTGAAGACTGAAGAGTGAACTATTAGTCTTTAGGGTTAGGAGAGCAGATTATCTAGACAAACATCACTCATCACAATCAAAAATTGTGAAACGGCCCCTTTATGGCAAGACACAATAACAAGGAAATCAGCTATCTGGTTACTAGTACCTTGATAGTGACGCAAAAAGGATGCCTGCGAGACAGAAATTGAAGGTCTAAAATAATGCTCTTGGAGCGCCCTGTTCAATCGTTGAGCGTGTAACGCGTTCAAATAGTACCCCACCAACTCTCAGTTTCGGTTTTCAGATTGTCCTGATCTTACGCTCGCGTCATTGCTAATTGTTGTCAACCGCTTTCATTAGTAGATGTAACTTCATTTTGTATTCTTGGTGATTCATTTTCCTTATATCTCCAGATATCTTTGAACGTTCCCCCAGTACACAACGTACCACCACATATTAGCATCTCATTAAAGGATTTACTCCTACGACAATTCCAGCCGTTTAGTCGAGTTACACATTGCAAACCACAGGATGGAAGAAACTGAACATGTTGCCCGGCGGCTTGACCGCATGCTAAAAAACAAAAAAATAGTATGCTTTGGTCCAGCTTTCGTAATGTATTTTCTCAGGATGATGAATCTGCGCTGAAATACCTTAGGAGATTGCGAAGCATCGAGATGACTCTGGAGATCTTAACGAAAACCGGTGTAGGTATAATTATCAACAAGATAAGAAAGGAGTCAGAAGATCCGGAGGTTGCTACATTGGGGAAAAACATGATAAAGCAGTGGAAAAAGCTGGTCCCAGGTAGGTGAATTTTGTGCCGAAACTCTTGAATATATCTCTTGGCTTCCGGGTTTCGTATTGATGAAATGTCTTGGGACGATAATCTACCCTTTTACTGTCTTGAATTTTGACTCGAAATCCATTCGTTACTGTGACCTTTATTCTAATTCCTTGTCCCAACCTATAATCCTAACTTCTAGTCTCGTTTCCTCACACTGATATACAAACATGTTTCGACCACAGCAGGTGGTCTAGGTCTCTCAAGGACGCTAGTATTTCTCAAAGGTCGTCCGTAAATTTTATCACCGTAAAAGTGGTATCATTAGTAGTAGCAGTAGTTGCGGTCAAAGTTTAATGATCACTCGTCCCAGACTGTTGGTTGAAGCTATCGTACGAACCTAAACCGGGTGATTTACACTTAACATGACAGTCGAGCTTCATGGACTGTCACATCCTAATCTGGCCACACTTTCGATTCATGCCCACTCCTACACTCCTACAAACCTGTTGGCATAGGCGGTAGTTGGACATACGTACTGCATATCCCGACCACCCTGGTTGATGAAAATCAACCACTTCAAGTGATTTTCCAGTTATCTAGTCCTTATAATGCAAATGTTGTACACTCAAACCAGTGAGGCGACACCTTTCTTTTCTTATGATAGAGTAAGGCGTACACGCAGTCAGTCAGCTACAACTTAGGACCAAGCACATATATGCATCGATTCAAGTTGCCAGACCTCATTAGCACAAGATAAACACCTAATTCACAGTAGTTACTTCAGTGGTAGTAATATATAATAGAAAGATTGTGCATAAGGATATAATACACGAAGAAAGGGTTAGTTCGTAGAAAGAAAGGTATGAGCCAATTTTAATCTCACGGTTTAAAAGAAGACAGAGTGTATACACTTACTCCATTGTGACCGATTCTAAGCCATCACACAGTCTCCAACTACTAGTTACTATAGTCGCGCGGATCCCAACCAAGTAGTCTGAATCTACCAACATGGCTCAGACCAGATGTTAGTAACTTTATGGACTGATGCCTTGTTTCGGTTTGACCGCCCCTAACTTTCTTCCAACCATCCCGAACACTCGTCAGTATTGCACGTCGTGGTAATCGGTGTTCAGGCATACGTAACACGTGGTCCAACTATCTCAGTCGATGAAGATTTACAATCTCATCAACTGATTTACCATCATTCCCTAATACTCTGCGTCTAACCTCACTATTACCCGGTGATCCCAGAAAATGCCAGCAATATTTCTAAGACATCTATGATCAACTACTAGTAACTTACGACTATCCGCTACTCTTAATGACCACGTTTCGCAGCCGTGAAGTAGAACAGAACGAACTTTCACGCAGTATACTCATCCTTTAGTTGATAAATGAATATCTCCCCTTCGCCATAGACGACGTAAGGTGGAAAAAGCCAAACGAGCTTTTTGAATCCGTGCAGAGATTTCGTCAGACACCAACCCATTATGGCCGATCACTCTTAAGATAAGTGAAGTTATCAACGCGTTCTACTACTTCGCTTCTCATTCTTAGTTCAGTTGTTCACACAGGCCGGTCCTGAAGCAACAACTTACATTTGAGGGGGAGTAGCGCATCCAAACACATACTGGCATCGTTGCTGTGTGCTACTCAGAGACTCTGCATTTGATCAGCGTCTTCACTAAACAGGACTATATCATCTGAGTATCCTAAGTCGATAAATGGACCATCCCTAAAATTCAGACAAAAAGAGCGTTATTTCCAGCAGTAGATCTATGATGAAGTTAAACAAAAATGGGGATAGTAGATAGCCTTGCCGGACATCACTTGAGGTTGCAAAATCAGATGACAAGTCACCGTAAGCTCAGACTCGACTGGTGGTGTTCAAGTAAAGAGCCTTCACAGGGTCTATATACTTCTGAGGTACGCCTCTCACTGCCACAGAATCTCGCTGTCTACAGAGTCAAATGCTGCTTTTAAGTCAAGGAAGACCACCATCGTCGGACGCCGATAAGCGTGCCCGTGTTCTAGAACCTGACGGATGATAAATATGTGATTGATGTAGCCACGACCAGGTCTGAAGTTAGCCTGACTTTTTCGTGTTTGCAGTTCACGAGTCTTTGTTAGGTGCCCGATAATTATTGGGGCTAGTATTTTAAATGCTATGTTAGTCAAACTAATCCCTATATGGTTATCGCAGGATGATTTTAACCCTTATATATTAGGACAATAATTGATTGAGATCACTCAAATGGGATTACGTTTAACTCCCAGATTTTAGCTAAAATATTAGTCAACCTAACCGCTAAGGTTAGACCACCATCTTTAAAGACTTTTGGAGCCAATCCATCTGGACCAGCTGCCCTTCCTCGTTTCAGATTAGCTATAGCTTTCGGAACGTCAACTAGAGTCGAGGGACCTATTAACATTCATGCTGTTTGGGAATGGTATGTAGTTATAGAGTAGCTGTAGGCCAGCTGAACGGCTCTTTACAGTGTTCCGCCGTTTTTTTCCGAGATACTCTCACGCTTGACTTCTTAATTGCAGTTTTTTTATCAGTCTGAAAAGCTGTCTGGTGTTACCTACAGCCGCTGCTGTTTCCATTTCTTCTGCTTTCGTTGCCCACCACTGCTCACAGTCGTTCCTTAGACTTTTGGTTAACCTAGATCTGATTTGTTTTCGTTCTCCATCGTATTCAGAGCCTGATGGGATGAGTTTATGAGGATCCGTCAGTGCAATAGACTTAATAGAAATCAACTGGTTTTTCGTAACCCCTTTGGTTTAAATCACTATTAGATGTCCTTGTTGTTCTCACAGCTGTTCGTATCTTTTTCCAAGTAACATCTGGGTCATCCTCGTTTTCAGAACTACCTAAGTGTGACCTCAGTTGTTCCTGGAATCTACTTTTGGCTTTCTCATCACTGAGTTCAAATTGATTTGGTCTTCTTAATGTGATTTTTCTGCGTCCATTGAGGCGCGAGCAAATGCGTGCTTGTATTAGAGCATGATCGGAGTTCAAACAGGTATTCCAGAACGTGCGTCAGACCTCTATAGAGCTTCTCCAACAGTGACTGATGGCAATATGGTCTATTTGAGTCCATCGTTGGTTTGGTGCAAGGGTTCGCCGTGTTGAACGATATCTCTCCTTATGCTTAAAATTAGTGTTTGCTAAAAATAAACGATTGTCTGAGCACAGTTGCAGCAGACGATCACCATTATCTGTTCTCTGAGCCGGAGTAATGAAATACCTACCTAAATGTCTTTCTATTTGGTTTAAGTTACCTACTTAGGCATTAAAGTCACCTACTATGAGTACTATATCTGAGTGTTTAGCTTTATGAAGGTGTTCAGAGAGCTTTCTGTAAAAGTTATCTTTCACTTCACTCAAGCTGTAGTTAGTGGGAACGTAGGCAGAAATGACGTAAAGGCAACGACGTGTCCCTGTCTTTCCGAGTTCTTACGGAGCCGTTCAGCCGAACAGCACATAGGCGACTGTTAACAGGGATCCATTCTAATAGTGCTTAGTGCTATACCTACACCCACCAGTTCACGAGAACTACCCATCAGGTTGCCAGACACACGGAGGGTGTATCTCGTCGGTTCTCCGTTTTAGCGAGGTGAGGTCAAGTGAATGAACACACTAGAATCCTGTATGCGTGTTTTGGAGACACAGCATACATCAATTGTACGACATTTTATGGTTTTAGTCAAGGAGGCCTGTTGGTCGATTCGAAATAGAGTGAGTACGTTGAAGTCTCCAATCTGTAGTTTTGAGCGAGGTTTCAGCAGACTTGGGGCAGTGTTTCGCGCGCTAAAATCGTTGGCCATGATGACACTTGAGGAGGAAGTTTAGAGTTGGAAGTCGACGTATGAGGAATAATAGGGATTGTATAGCGAGATTGATTTTGAATACGAAGGTCTTGAGTACTGTTAGAGGTATGTGGGCGGTTATCACTTCCCGGTTGCCCACACTGTAGAAGAGATGTTCTGGGGGGGGGGCTGAAAGGGAAATTCGGTTAGTGGTGGTCTTAGTGCACTGTGAGCTTGACCGCAGTACCCAAGGGAAAACTGCTTGAGGTTGTTCACACAAGACCATTTTGTGAGTAATTTTCGTGTTAGCTCCGTACTTGTTGAGACCTTACTGCTGGAGACGGAAATACGTGGGATAAGGTGGTGTGCATGTTTAGGGTCGATCTATTCTAACCCCACCCTTCGTTGTGGAAAGGCAACATCTCTGTCATGCGAGTTGTCTGAAGGAGACACCTTACTGCTGCCACATCTCGGTAGTACGACTTCGCCCTCGGACCTTGAGGGACAATTGTTCCAGCCAGTAAAGCTCGATTGGTTCATGAAGATAGACAAGCCCGACCACCACGTCAAGGTAGCAGCAACGGTGAAACATTGCATCTAAGAATCGAAAGCACGCAGTGGTTGATAGCATTTGGACATAGCTGTCTGGAAGGGATTAGTGGTGTACATTCAGACTTTTTGGCTAAGCAGTAAATCTTGGAATGCTACGTCAGTAGTTGACTGCTTCATATTACCAACTTTCAACTACTAAAGTAGCTGGGACAGTAAAGGCTTCAATGTAAAGTGAGATCGGAAAGTAAACAAAGATGGTTCAATATTTTTATTTATAATTACTTCAACATATCGTATTAAGATACTAATAATAGTAGTAAAATCAAGCTATTTGATTTTGTTGTTCCGAATCTGCATATCTTTAAAGTATGTTATACTTGTGTCAGGTTCACCTCTTAAAAGAGATCTTGTTTCTGTTCCTCAGGTAAAGCAATTGTTAACCTTGATGGCATATTATTTTCCAGCCAAGTGCTTAATATAATCATAGTGCTAAATCAGGGAACTATACAAACTATTAGTCGTTACTGATATTTTTGAGAGGTTACTAACGATTCCTTTTTATATTTTGTTATATTTTAGACAAAAGTGAAGCTCCTGCATCTTGCACCAATAGTGTTGGCAATAACAATAATGACAATGGCAACAATAATGACAACAAACATTCACCTGAGTCAAATAACTACAATGTCTGTGACGATGGAGGACCACAAGAAGCCAAACGGTCTCGGCCAAGTGAAAAGAAGGAATCTACAGAACTGTCCGCAAATGCAAGTCGTGGCTTTTTTCCTGTCCACACTTTGACTACAACAGATCAAGTACGTTTAAAAGCCAGAGAGATGCTTCAATCAGCACTAGAAAGTGGCAGTAAGTGACAGTAGCAGACCTACACTGATTTCCTTTCTTAGATATTCCTAGCGGTGCTTATGAAAGTGAGTTCCTAGCAATACGAATAGAAAGCTCCATATATGATCTTTTCAACAATACTGATCCCAAGTACAAACAACGAGTACGTACTAGAGTTATGAATCTACGCGATTCTAATAATCCCAATTTGCGACTTAATGTCCTAATGGGACACGTGAGTCCGGACAAACTAGCATCGATGACATCAGAAGTAAGTTTTCATTATTTTGTTGAAAATCCATGTATATTTTTTCTCAGTAATCTACCATTTTCAAACGAACTTTACAGATCAGCTGATATCTTACCGAACTTGATTCTGTCATCGATTAATACTCCCATCTTTAGTAGTAGTGTGAATTGATCAGTTTATAACGTCTGGCTTTGCTCACTTTAAAGGGTTGATCGGATCAATCAAATAACCATCTAGGTACACTTAAAAGTAGGTTATTACATACTGTCACTTCACTGGAGGCGTTTTCACAGTTTCCAACATACGTAAGATACTCTTCCGGGGCAACATCCAGCGGTTGTAATGAAAGACGTTGTACAAGTTTCTTGTGCACATATATTTCTTGTTTTTCCAAATATGTAGCAAATGCCTCGGCAACGCTAAGAAAACAGAAGCTCACTGTCCTTGGCAGTTTTCTACTCACTTTATAAATCACTGGATACTGAGTCCTCTTTGGTGAGACGACTTACTTCTGATAAGTCGTGTAGGTTGAACGCTATAAACGATTCCTAAGCTATTTCGGTAACCCGCAGTCTAGAACTACACAGCGACTTGAACTCCAGAGAGAAGACACAAGAATAAGAGAAAACACTTTATTCCAAGGTTCGTTCTAGTACAGAAAACCAAGGGTATTTATAGATGTTGGCGTCTGTTAAATTAACATCATATTTCAGCCAATCCGTTAACGTCATATTATGCTACCGACCAATGGTAGCACGCCACGCTGGAATTCTCGAACGTTCCATCATACTCTGATTGGCTAGGCCCTTCGGCTCCTTTTTGGGCCTCTGGAGGCTCCGTTGAAGTTCTCCGGAAGCCGACCCAACAACTTCCACATGGTGTTTGATTAAAGAGCTTCCTATCGAGTCATTGTCGCCTCTTTTTAGCCAAGCTGGTTAATGTTCTTGAAGTCTTTTGGATGAAATACACATCGAACGACATATATACCTGGCTCCACAGGAATATTTTATTTGATGAACTCACATGGGATTGGTCAAATGAGTTAATTCATCTTTGAGGTTATTACTAAACATTGGCTGACTGGAGGACACTTATTGCAAGGTTGCTGCGAAGAACAATCTATTGAAAGTCAGCAATTATGCTCTTCAGGATATCTTTATTTATTTTGCCTCACTATTATTGCCATTGTTATTATTTTGAAAAATATGTATAGATTTGTGTTTATACAGCTTTGAAAATGAATTCGCCGAAGAGATCTCTTCACTAAACCAATCTTCCTTAGTTAATATGACAAGCTATTAGGTTAGACTAAATGAATACCTATGATTTCCAAATACGTTATATAATTCCTTTTCAAAATAATCCAATAATTCATTATCCGAATATTATAGTGCACCCGGTTTATCATTCATTCACAAGTATTTGAGGTCATAAAAATATTTGCATGCATAAATCCTCTACAAATTATTAAAGTGGCACAATTTTTCAAGTCCGTTTTTAGAAGTATTGCTCTTGTTATCGAATGGTTTAACTTTTTAGTGACATATAAGGTTGATGGATTGAAGTGAACTAATACGTTGTGACCAATTAATTGACAACTAATCACGAGATAGAACCTCCTGACTTATTACAACAGCCTAATAATCCGTGCTATCTCTATTGAGTCAGTTGGTGGTCATCAATATTCAATCTGTTCGGGTTTCTTTGTAATGGTCATTATTGATCATACAACTAATTATTTTCAGGACCATGTATACACAAAATCCACTTTAGTTTCCCGAATCTATTCATTAAAAACAAATAATGATACCATATGTGAAAGTTTGATCTGTGTTGTTTACGAAAGCTGCATGCACCAATTCAGAATGATTAAAGGAATAGCAACAGAAGTACTAGTATTAGTCACTTAAATACAATAGGACCTTGTGCTGTTTCCTAACGGGGCTTGCTTCAATTATGTTTTTGATTGACTGTTACAGACCATCTATCGATCAACATGTTATCCACTATTCTTAACCGGAATATGACTAAAGCTAATTCGAAACCCCCCCATGTTATTATTTAATCTTGGTAGGATACGTAACTATTTTCTTAAGTTCCTTATTTATTGATTTGATTGTGTAGGAGATGGCTAGTAAAGAAATGAAAGAGCTTCGTGAGAAATATACTAAAGAAACTATAGAAGACCATCAAATGGCTGTAACTGGTGGAACGGAAACTGATTTATTACGATGTGGAAAGTGTAAGCAGACCAAGTGTACATATAACCAGGTTAGTTGCCTTTAATTATCCTCAAATAAAATCTGGGAATAAAAGTCATCATTGATGACGGTAGGTGATGATCTTACTGTATCACAAATTAACTGAAATTGTAAATGCAAACCATTAGGTCCAAAGTGAGTGACTTATAAGTTGCAAACTTGCTGCGTGGCCCTAAATTTCTGGACTCAAGCTCCTTCGGAGTTATGAATGTGCATTGCTAAGAAATTTCAGATCAGGACAGAACAGGTAGATAGTGCCTTTTTCTTCTATCGCTGATGTCCTCCAGTAATAAAGCTATATTCACGTTAAACTAAGTAACATATCTTACTCGACTGAATACGAGATTATATAAAAGTATTTGTTTTTGATCACAACTCATATTCTATAATTTCTTGTTGCATTAAGAAAAATCTGTTCATCACGTAACTGTTGTACGTTGACTAAAAGTTACATGCGTTTTGCAGTGATGCAATCTTGTTAATGTTTACCTTTAGTTCATTTCTGATTTAGTGCTATTTCTGTCCATAATTGGTTATGCATGAATTCTATATTCTCAATTATCTTGTATATTTTGTCATTCGGTTTTGTCTATATCAGGTTATTATATGAAATGTTTCCAAATAAAACATATTCATTTCCACTAAACATTTTTATGTGAATGCTTTTCCATGTTCTGTTATTTCAATCTAAAAAGTGATAATAAATGCGAGTCGATCGGTAGTCAGCACATTCTGTGATATGAAAACTTCAGTAAATATGTATCTGCTTTTCATAGGCACTGGTATATTTCGCTTATGCTATCCTTTGCTCCCTACCTATTTATGCAGCTCACATTTTAATTAAAAGTTACAACATGCAGTATCATTTTATTTACTTGATACGGTAGGATTCAGTCATTTTTGTCTTCTCTCAACTTGTGTTATATTCTTTTAGAAACATATATACTTCTTCTTTCCATAGGTCCAAACTCGTAGTGCAGATGAACCAATGACCACTTTTGTCTATTGTAACAATTGCGGCCACCGTTGGAAAGTAAGTTCCACTTAATTGCTTTGTTATCATTTCACATGTCTGGACCTTACTTTAGGGGGCTTATTTATATTAGTCGCAATAAATCTCCCTAGTTATCTCGTGCGCTCTCAGTGAATACTCCTTTACTTGAAGCAACTCTAATATACTTTTGTTGCTTAGTAAAAGCTTTTCCCAATGAAGATCTACTAAATGAAATCTTGAATTGTAACAAGTCTCGAACTATACATTTCACAACTGGGGTGTTGTAATAACGTTCTCCATCATAATTATTTTAAAGCTGTTGAGCTCAAACCCTAACTAGTGATGTTGGATTGTGGCGCTGCTACATGGCCAGGAATAGTCCTGCACTGTTGATTGTAAAGTGAATTAACAAATTGACCTAATTTTCTATAGTGGTTACGGTCTATTTTACACTTACCAGCTCATTAGCATGTAGGTAGCTTGTTGGAGATTCAATCGATCACTGTTGACATTGATTCCAAATCTTTTCTCAAAGCCACGCCAAAATAGAATTTCCGTAATAAGCTTAAAATCTATGGTTAAACTACTTCTATGTTCTTAAATGCCATTCGCTAAAAAACCATTTTGGCGGGTTCTTCCAGAGTCCCAACCTGTGCTTATTTCTTATTCTTATCAATTTTGAACGTTGAATGTATCAGATGTAAACAAATAGTTTCTCATTGGAGACAATTCAATATAGTTGACAGGAACTAGTTTCGTGATGTAATGAAGTTGGAAGTAAAAGTGGATGACAATGTGAATATCATATAATACCACAAAAACTAAAGCAATTGAATAACTTATTTTTTGCATAGTAAGATTGAGTTGTATTAACTCCTCAGTCTGTTTTTGTATATTATGTCGTGATTTAAAAAAAATAGCTATGTTACTGTTCAGGTTCCTGGATCCAAACAGTTGTTTGTCCGAGGGAGCTGACTATCTTCAAGCTTGTTGTGTAAAAGCTCAATCCATAAAGCAATTAAACAACGTTGGGGAATGCGTTTCCATAGTATCCGATGACTAGGTGAACGTAGATTATTACTCTATTTCCAATCAAAAGTCAAAATGATGCTTATATGTTCACCAGTAATAAGGAGTTTAACGCAAAAGAGAAATCTGTTGTCATTAAGTTGGTGTTCATTAGCATGCGCACTCATGAGCTGATTTATTTACAACCCGACATTAATTGATCATCTAATCATTTTTTCAAGTAAGTTGTCTGTCTTTTTTTCTTGTAATTATAACATTGTTTACAACAAGCATTTGAAAATTTGTTTTTCTAACAGTTTTGCTGACAGCTCGGAAAAATCATTGTCCAACCACACTTATCCACTAATTTTCTGCTGCGATACTTAATTAAATTGTTTCAATGTGAACACTAATACTAAAGAAGAAACTAGAGAAGAAATGTCCATCTTCGTTTTTGACTTTGCTCATTCTCGAAAATCTGTTTTTTAGGAAGAAATAGACTGCCATAGTTGGACAAAAAGATGAATTATGTCCCATTATTTTTTTTCTTGCGACTTGTTGTCTTACATTGTCTGTCCAAATATATCTGACACTTGTGTGTAAATATTTTGCATGTATATGTTGGTGTTTGCGAATCGCTCTACATGAAAATGTCAGTTTTATTACATAAAATCTTTATAATATACTTTGGTAAAAATGTATAGGGAAACAGTTTTCCGCTGAGATTGTCGACCTGTAAAGTTGCTACTATACTCCTAGTGTATATTTTACCGCTTTATGTAACAGACAATAATTGTTATTCTATTTTTAAGTCCTCATTGTATTAAAAAAAACCATGATTTATTCATATATATTGTTTCTGTAATTTTGCTTTAAGACTGTTCATAATTAAAGTAATCTTCATTAATTCGTCTACAATATTGCCCTTCCTATAGCAGCTTTAAATTGTACACAAATAAAATAGTATTACTTGTTTTAATCCGTATTTCAGAGTGATATGGTAAGTTATGGCTAATCAAAGCTTTGCCAACATTGTATCAGTTTTATTTGTTAGAGTATTGTCTAGACGATTCTTTCATCCATCCAGTCATTCGAACGCTATGTAGAACCTGGCATACATGTGCATCTGCTCAAGCTTCCACACCATATCAACGTAGGGAGATGCCAGATTGTAAACTTAATAGAAATATCCGTTGTGGTAGGAAAGATTCGGCATAAACAATATGATTATAGGAGATATGAATTTGTGATATAAAAAAGTACAAGGGGATTTCAAAACTCGAGATCTGAGATCAGACAAAGATCCTTGTTTAACAAACACAAGTCAACTGGAGAGTGAGATGACCAACTCATTTACCCTTAACAAATCAAAAGCATGTCACCAATATCTTATGATTATTGGTTTGTGAAATCATTTTAAACTCGAGTTTTTTATCGTAATGGAGCATTTATCTTTTGTTCAAATCAACTTTGTTTGACCAGCTATATGTATTAGATCTACCACTAACTGATTCATTCGACAAGAAGTTTATATAACTTTTCATGAGTACAGTGTTTATTAATCTAAACAACTATCAGTGAAATAGTTATGTTGCCCTCGTAAACACTGCAGTTTGTTTGCTAGATACGAAGCTGAATTAAGAGATTGTATTCATACATAAATTATTCGTTATTTACTGGAAAAACAGGATTTAGAAAATAATAAGTTAATTAAACTGCGAAAATATGTTACTACTGATTATAATCCTACTACAGATTTTAGACTTAGAGTACTAGGTAAAGATGGTAAGTCGGTTGGTGAAGTAGAGAATATCCATCGACTGTAGTGATTGGGATACGTATTATGTTTACCGAAACACAGTGGAAGCGTGTTGTTTGATGGTGTAAGATTTCGTTGGAAGAAAGCTAGGGATGGCCAAACCAAAACGTTTCTTGAGTTAAACTGAGGTAGGTGGATGAAGTTACGAAGTTATAACTTAAGGGTTGGAAGTTGAGTGCTTTAGCCTCTTAGTCACAATGGCTTGAAAATTCAGGTAGAAAACAATATTAAAGACAAATTTTGGTCATCCATATTGTCGGGTAATCTGAATCTCTAGTTTCGCAAAATGTACTGTTAGCATCCTGAATATGTAGAAAATGCAGGATAGGGTGTATCAAGTGCGAAAATATAGAATTATTAAAGTTTATTCTTAAATAAAATCCACACTTTGTCCCCAAGTACCTACAGAGAATTACTAAAGTGTAAAAAACAATTTTTCCTCATTATAACATATACCGAACACTTAGAAACCCAATGAAATGTATCATAAGCTTACTACGTTATTTTGTGATTTTTTTTTAAATGACAGCTGTCCAAACATCGTTTTATCTACTGTTAATCAACTTTTGAAGAGTGGCTGCGATAAAATCTGATAAGCTTTCAGTTTACATTAAATATTACATTCACATCTGACAATTTTACTCCCATTTGTTGAAGGATTAGTATTTTAATTAGAAAATCCCTCTTACGAGTTTCTGGTTGGTAAGCAATTTCATGTTATTGAATCATTAAAGTTAGTGGAAGCATAACTACTAAACCTACAATATTGTTATTCATTTACGTGAGTTGTCAATTTTAGTGTATTATATTGAAAGTTAAGCATTCTACCAATTAGTTGAAAACAAATTATAAAAATCTATCTAACTATTATACTGAGTAAAACTGTATTGACCCCCTGCTAATGAATACAAACCACTACCAATACTTTTCTTACAAAAAATCAAAGTTTAAACCTTTAATGATCAATATACTCCATTTATAGTTTTATTGTCAGTTCAGTCTTCTCATTTATACATAACATTAGGGTGAATAGTTACACAAAGAAATAATTCACTTTAAATGATCAGCTCGTAACGTACACGGTTCTTAGTCCGGATCGAATTCTGTCGATTAAATTTGTCTAGTGGCCATTAAAGACTATATGTAATTGGTTGCTATTTCATACTAATATATCAATATGCTGCGTTTGAAGAGATTACGAGATCACCTAAAATCAGCAACACAACGACAAGACAAGCTTAACATTTCCGTTGCGTCCCAGCCCCGCTAATTAGAGGGGGAAAGACGTGGTACAGATGAAGGAGAGGTATATTCCACAAGTAGCCAGAAGTACTAACAACCGATCATACATCTCAAGCGTATATATGCAGCATAAAAATGTTCATCTGATACAAAATATTCAAAGGGAACGGATGAATGACATTTAGCGTCCTTTCAAGTAGGAAATACCATCTGAAGGTGAAAATAGTCGCGAAAACTAGGGATTCAAACTTCCAAAATAAAGTTACAAAAATAGGACGTTTACGAAGTGATTTCTTGTAACCGAGCATCCCCAACACAACAGGCGTTACAATCTTTATTCAGGCTAGTCGTGTCTTTGACTTCGACAGCGAGTAATATTGATTCATATCTCTAGGGAAGGGGCCCCAGCTTACCAAGGATTGAAACACTGCTTTGCTAATAAATAGGAACTATCACCAACCCCTTTCTAGGAGCTTTAATACTAGCTGTACCCGATCTTTGTTTGTGATAATTGACAAAGATTTTTAGTAGTAACCGGTTAATGTTAGATTTTATTAGTACAGGATAATGTACACTTAATTGGGTGACTTTCACAGGAAAAACAGCTTTCAAACTAAATAAAAATGTAAACTTCATGATGCAACGTTTGGAAAGTTTTCGTATATTCTGTACATAACTACGTACAACTCATACCAGTTATGTTTTATTTTTTAGAGAAACAACTATTTTTATCAGTTTCCATTAAGGAAATAGTAGTAAACAGACATTAGTAGGATTCAGATTACATAATGGTAATTGAGCTTGTCATAATGGCGGAATTGGAAACATTTTTCAATCATTCTGGTAACTAATAATTAATTGGTGGGATACGAACAACTTACTAAATAAATCTGATAAATTTACTGCAGTAACGCAGAATTCGTCACGTCTATCAAGGATTCTTTATGGTAAACCTCATTAAATATTATGCATGGTTTTGTATTGTATTTGATTGACTAGCGATTAGTTGATACTTAAAAAATACCACAAACACAACATAGTACTTGTAAGTAGCAAACAAACTAATATTACAATTCCTTCCTCTGTGGTAATTTACTCCCGACTATTCCGCACTAAATTTTCAAGTTCTGACTTATTAAATTGATAACATTAATAAATGTCGCTAATTGTATTCTGGAAGCGTGATTTTCAAAAACGTTGAATAAAATGGAAAGTTAATCGCAGTAGGAACGTTTACATATAAAGGATGAAACGTGACGGTTAATTGTAAATATACATTGATAAAATGTTTCTGTCTGATATTTAAGAGATTCCATCCAATTAGAGGTAACTCAGTAGAAATTCTCATGAATAACCTGAACATAAAAGGAAGTGTTATTTAATATCTTGTTAGAAATCAAAGTGTAATATCAAGTTTTAAAATCTAACATTAGTGTTTTGCGTTATCCTTAAGAAATGTATCATGAAATGTTTTTTAATGTGTATTGATCACTAGAAGCTGGTAATTATATCTCAGACTCCCTTCATTACTCCATAAAATCTTACGGTAATTATTCGTTAAACGATGTTTCATACCTAGAATTTCAACCAGAAATGTGTTTAAAATACGTTCCAAACTCATTTAGACTTAAAGTAAGTTGGGGAAACAATTATTTATATCTGTTACTCTTTGTGGAGGAGCATGGGCCTCTCACCAACATTCTCTATCCTGGGCAATCCTTTCCCGTTTCTATTCATTCTTTTGATGCCTGCTTTTGATTCTCTATTCAGTGTGTTCTGTGGTCTTTTCCGTTTCTCTTGAGGATTCCAGGTAAGCGCTTGCCTAATGATGCAGTTTGTTGATTTGCTCAATGTATGTCCTGTCTACTTCTAAAATCTTGTCCCAATTTTCTCTCCAACTGGGACCTGGTTTGTTCTCTCACACAGTAGGTTGTTGCTGATGCTATCTGACCAACGGAAATTAAGTATCTTGTGTAGACAATTGTTTATAAATACTTGTACTTTCTTGCTGATGGTTGTGGTAGTTCTCCAAGTCTGAGCTTCGTACAGTAGGACTGTCTTGACGTTCGTATCGAAGATTCTGACTTTGGTATTGGTTGACAGTTGTTTTGAGTTCTATGCGTTCTTGAACAGTAGGAATGCTGTCCTTGTTTTGCCAATCCTTGCCTTCACGTTTGTATCGGATCCTCTTTGTTCATCGATGATGCTACTCAGCTACATGAAAGATTCCACCTCTTCCAGAGCTTTTCCATCAAGTGCGATTGGTTTGTTGTTCTCTGTGTTGTATTTGAGGATGTTGCTTTTTTCTTCGTGTTTGTTGAGGCCTACTGATATGGAGGCTTCTTCTGAACAGTTTGTCTTGAACCTCATTTGTTGGTATGTATGGGCTAGAAGCATCAGGTCATCTACGAAGTCTAAGTCGTTTAGTTGCATGCAAGCTGTTGATTGTATTTCGTGCTTCTCCTGAGATATGGAGGCCTTCATATTCCAACCATCAGAAGAAAGAGGATGGGAGATGGTGAACATCCTCTCCTGACTCCTGTTGTCACTTGGAATGTGTCTGTCAGCTTTTCTCCATACATAACTTTGCACTGTAATCCGTCGTATGAGTTCCGGATGATTATCGATCAACTGGAAGCTGTCTTTATCGGTCA